ACTTCTTCTTCTTCTTCTTCTTCTTCTTCTTCTTCTTCTTCTTCTTCTTCTTCTTCTTCTTCTTCTTCTTCTTCTTCTCCTTCTCCTTCTCCTTCTCCTTCTCCTTCTCCTTCTCCTTCTCCTCCTCCTCCTCCTCCTCCTCCTCCTCCTCCTCCTCCTCCTCCTGGTTCAGGGTCCATATTTTTTTTGGAACAATGAACACCATTTTCCATGACCAAACACAGCATTCAAGTTTATATCTGCATTTTGACATATATGGCTGTAGAGACATTTGATACAACAAAAAACTGGCAGACTGTCTGGTCATCAGGGCCTGAGATTGGTTTGGCCTGTGTTCAGCTCAGCAGTATTCTGGTGGGCAGACAGTATCTAGCAGTACTACTAAGAGGAGTAGACCTCACCACCAAAAGTTTGGATTATTGAGGGGTCAGTATCAAGGGACAGTTGAATAGAAGGCAAAGAATTGAAGAAGATCACAAAGTATCAAGATCTGGAAATCAAAATTGAAAGATTATGGCATAAACTGGCTATGGTGGTCCCTGTGGTTATCAGCACACTGGATGCCATATCAAAAAATCTTGGATGATCCTTAGAAAATTTGGTATCTTGGCAAAATTTCCATCCGTCAATTGCAAAATGCCATACATCTTGGATCTGCACATGTACATTATGACATCCTAGGTTCTTAGGAAGAACTCAATGTTATGAAGACACCAGTTAAAGACTTTACATTATTGTGAACAGAGAATAATATTAATAACAGTAATCAAAAATAATAAATAATAATAACACTGAATATACAGTACATGCAGTGTATCTGTATCAGGAAATGGGCTAGCTGCATACTCCTGTTGCCTACAGATGCCTACAGAATTGCAGTTACACATGACTGTCAAATGTATAATGCAGGAATTCATCCAGTGACTTTAGTAATGTGGTAATATGTGTGGTGGTCTTAAGTTACAGGGTAGCATACTGAAAGAATTTGCTGAGCAAGAAAAGATCTATTTTTAAAGAGTTCTAATCAGTGATCATAATATGCTTGATTATGCAGGTTCAATTTTCTGAGGGTAGTGTCTCTAATTATGTAACTGATAGTTTCCTCATCCTATGAAGAAACCTCAGTGTCACCCAGAGAGAAAATTAAATACTTAAAGCACTAAGTAAGTTTAAAGTGTGGCTTTCATTCTTGTGGTCTTGGGCATGAAAGACAGCTGGTAAGACATGATGAAAGCCCTCTGGCATCTTTATAATTATTGAATATATTGAACTGTGGTTTGCCAGGAGATGTCGTGATCTAAATATAATCTCTAAAAATACGGCCAGTGTCACAGAGCTGCAATCAAAATCAACAAAACAACACTGAGTGCTATTTCCCAAGCATCAGGTTAGCTGCAAAGAACTGAGTGGTGTTAATGGCTACAGTACTAAAGAACTAAGTCTTATATAATGTTTTCCTTGTATAAATTCCCATGTGTGCTCATCAGGCACTGGGGCTTTTATTTGTCCCTTATTGGGATATACCTTAAAGCAATCTTCAACCTGGTGCCTTCCAGACACGTTGGAATGCAATTTCTATCTTCCCATGCAACACGGCCATTGAGATTATGTAAGATTGTGGTACAAATTTAGCTGTCTGCTCTATTGTAAAATATACTTTTTTAAACCTCTGTTTGTAATTTCTTCCTGTGATCCAGGTCCTTAGTTCTAATTCAAATTAAAAACGAGGATGGAAAAATGTGTTCCAGATTTATAGAAGTATCTAGTTCTAGTCCTATACTGTAAATTGGGTTGCATAATGATTTAGATCAGTGGAGTCCTAGTGCAGTATGATCGACCTACACAGACTTCAGGTCTCTGACTTACTAATTTTGTTAGCACAGTTTATTTTATTGGAATGTGGGCAGATTAGTGTGATGATTGAATTCTTAAGCTCAGACAGCTGTGGATTTATGAAGGGGCAGTTCATTCCATACCCACTGCTGCCCAAATGGACTACTGCAATATGCTTTATGTGGGATTAGACTTGAAGAGTATTTGGAAGCTGTAGCTGGCGCAGAATGCAATGGATTCAAGAGCTCTGGGTACCCCTAGGATAGGGCATGTAACAGCAGTTTGCTTATGGATCTAATTCAATAAGATACCAATAATAACCGAAAGCTTTAATTAACATACATTTCTTTTCTCATTCTCACAGAAAGAAAAGTTCATTGTATATGAGGAGTATTGCAGCAACCATGAAAAAGCACTCCGGCTTTTGATGGAATTGAACAAGATCCCTCCTGTGAGAGCATTCCTATTGGTAAGGATCAATGGTACCATAAATTTCTATGTTATGGGTAAGCCAACTCTAACACTCAAAATAAAGGCAGAGTCATAAATGCTCCAGACTATGCTAAAATGCAATGGAAAATATTTGCATTAAAAAACTGTAAATAATACTACTCCCTTGGCAACCAGTCCCAGCAGCACTAGTAATTAAAAGAGCTAAAGAGCAATTCTGTTTTAATTATTTTCTTGAAAACCATCAGGGATTGCTCCATCCAGATCTCTGGGGGTAAACTGTTCCATGGGAATGGATTAAGAATAAAGAAATGTTGTTCCTTGGCCCCTTCTTGTACTGTCACAGGTAGGGAGGGAAGAGGTTTTTGGCATCTCTGATTAGGAGGTATACACTGAACATATTCGTGATTAAGTTTATTACTATGTTTCTATGCTGCTTCAGTCCGTTGAAGGTAAATCACTTATTAAGGCATACTGAACATAAAATATTATTAAAGCTTATATATTAAAATGCACATAGAACAAACCCAAAAGAATATATATAAATATATATAAATTTTCCTTAAAAAATTAGAAGTTAATTATCCTCCTGAACTTTCAAATTACTTGCATTAAACTGTTCTCCCTGTCCAGACTCTCACAACCTCCATTGCTATATTTTGTACCAATTTAGCTTCTGGGTAGTCTTCACAGGCAGCCCTTTGTGGAGCTCATTGTATTAGTCCCATGATGGTGAACCTATGGCATAGGTGCTGGAAGCAGCACACAGAGCCATTTCTGCCAGCACGTGAGAGGTCGCCCGGAAGAGCCCCCCCCCCCGCCAGCCTGCTGATTGTCGGGTATCTGCTGCACATGCGCCGTGGGAGACGCATATGCCGGAGATGTGTGTGCATACTCAGGGGGCGGGGCGTGTGCAGGAGGGTTGCGCACACATGCACAGAGGCACGTGGTGCAGGGGGTTGCACATGCATGTGCGGGGGCGGGGGGGTCATGCACGCATTGCATCATGAGTGCAGGCACACACACGCACTTTCGGCATGCAACATGGAAAAGGTTAACCATCACTGTATTAGTTCATCTGTGAAGCAAAAAGGAGATGGGATGAGATGCTAAACATGGAAACCTTTTCAATTTGCATCAGAACTTACCAGGTCCCCCTTACTGTTTCTCTCCCCATATAAACGTTTATGACTCCTAGTCCAGATTTATCCCAAAGGTGCTTTTCCAAAAGGCAATTGGACTTTCTTGGTTTTTGCTTGAAAACGTTTGGCTTCTCCTCCAAGAAGCTTCTTCAGTTCAAAAGCTTCTGCACTTTTTGGATGAGAAACAAAACCAAGTAAGTCCGGTTGCCTTTTGGGAAAAGCAATGATTTGGTAATTGAGAGTCTCCATAGACATTTTGTGCAGATCTATTTTGTTTTTCTTGTGTCTGTGTCTGCATGTGTTATATCTATGTTGCACTGTTGCAAGTGGACGCAAGCTTTCTCACTTTAATACAATTAAAGCTTTCACTCCTTTGTCCCTAGTGTATTAATTTACATCTTTGACTTGAATTATTGACGGGAAATCTGAGTACAGCTGTTATGCCAGCACATTTCCTTAATTTATAAATTGGATTGCTAGGAAAAAAAAATCTATACCCTTATTTATCATTTCACAGGCTTCTTCAGTGTCTAGGTCAAACTTTAAACTACCAAAATGAAGCCACCTCCTGGTTTTGTAGTTGGCCAAAATTTTATAGGCTGAGAAGATTTTGGGGTTGTGTTATATTGTTTTTCTTGAAACATTTTAAATAGTTACATGTGGTATCTGCATAGAAGTCTGATCTTGTGGTTTGATAGTTCCATAAATAGCAGTAGCAATAGCACTTAGACTTATATAGTGCTTCACAGTGCTTTACAACCCTCTCTGAGCAGTTTACAGAGTCAACATATTGCCCCCAACAATCTTGGTCTTCATTTTACCCACCTCAGAAGGATGGAAGGTTGAATCAACCTTGAGCCAGTGAGGAGTGAACCACTTGCAGTCAACTGAATTAGCCTGCAATATTGCATACTGCACCACAATGGCTCCTCTGCTCTTCCTAATTTCCCTCTTCCTAATCTCACCAAACAAGTTGTGCCCACATGATCATATCACAATAAAGTGAGAATATTTTTTAAAAAATTAAGAAACATCTGTTTGAATGACATGTTTTTGCTACCTGAAATAGTGATTCAACCTTAGAATGATATTTGTGTCAGCTTTGGAAGCCATATTGAGATTTGATGCTCCACACTGCTACAAGCCTGAGAAAGTGGGAGGAGGAGATTCAATTGAGTATCTCTAAGTAGACAAAATAAAATTCTTTTGTTAGTTCAAGGTCATTGAGTTTGGTGCAGAATGAAATAAGAATCTTACTCTAGGACGGATCATGATTGGGCCATGTGATGTGATGATGGCCAAGGGGGAGGGATGGATTTGTAGTTTTGAATATTGCAAGAATACTTTCAGATTTGGGATTCCACAGATGTGCCAGTTTCTACCCAGATAAAGGTATTTTTGAGATATGTCTGTCTTGGAGTTATTGATTGGAATGGAGGTTTGTGGGAACGCTGACAATTTGATCCATTTTTAATGTCTGAATTCTTGTAAAATTGTTAAACATTGTAAGATTTTGGCATTCTCAGCCCTAAGTTCTCCCACGGTTTCTCATATCTTGCAAGTTTCATGGCAAAAATGCATAAGATTTTTTAAATTCTAAAATATTATTTTTAGTTTGGTGGTGATGGATCTACAACAGGGGCGTCAAACTCAAGGTGCTTAGATCTGGCCTGCAGGGCTGCCCTGGAAACAGCAAAGAACCAGCCCACAGTGCCTCTGCCATTGAAAAGGGAGCTCCATTTTTGGCCACAACCACCTCCTTCAGTCCTCTGCCAGTGAAAACAGAATCTGGGGTGGCTTCCCCAAGCTCCGTTTTTACTGGCAGAGGGTTGCATGAGGCTATTGCGGCCCAAAATAGAGCTTGCGGCATCCCCTGAGCTCAGTCCCCTCGCCCCTGGGCCAATCACTGCCAGTCCGCGGAGCCAGAAAAGTTGGGGAACATTTCTATATATGTTAGCTTGAGTCCGATTAAAGAAATACAGACTATACTCTTTTAATAAACAAAATATTCCCTTTTCTCCACAGATAACTAGCTCTACAAAATGTTATTCATTACCATGATATCTTGAGACATTTTGAGTGAAATGCAATATTCTTAATTTTTTTTTCTTGTTGCAGAGTTGCATGCTTTTGGGAGGTAGAAAGACGACAGACATTCCACTTGAAGGTTATCTCCTAACTCCAATACAGAGGATTTGCAAATACCCACTTCTCCTCAAGGTAACACCAAATGAAGACTTTGTCCTGATAGTTATTTTCTTAGATTCTTGTCCCGCAGTTTTTCAGTTTTCTTCATTGCATGAAAAGTTCCACTTACCTGCTCACAAGGTTGTTCATAAAATTTGAATACAATAAAAATGATTTTTATGGCTTATTGCAGATTGAGTCACGCAGGTGACATATCATTTAACTGTTTCATTGCTGATTATTTTACAATGAATGACTTGTGGCATTGGGGAGTTGTTGTTTTGAACTAAATTTGAATCATGCTTATATTCCAGTACTGCACAATGTAAAAATATATCTTAGTAAGTTTAAATGGCAATGTCCCATGTTTAATTAGAAAGTACCACTCTGAAAAAGAAAAACATTTTCATTTTAAAAAGCAGTATTATCAGAGTAGATTCTTAGGAATAAAATTTTAAAGGATTGGTTTTAGTTTATGCATCTGTTTTGCTTCACTATTCTCTCCATTCCCCATTCATTCATTTGAAATTATATCATGAATTTGGGGAGGCAAGATTGCATACTGACTATTTACTTCATTTCTCCATTTATCTACTAAGTATTCCAATAGTACATTGGAATGTAGTATGGCTTACAACATTTTATTGAGACAAAACATTAATAAAATATTAAAATAAAACCATAAAATCATTATATAAACTATTAAAAATGATAAACCCATAGTTATTTTCAAACAACATCAAATATTCTCTTACAGACAAAGAACATATTAATAAATGCACATATGCCAACAAAGTAAAGGAAGAGGGCCATTACGATATACGAGGAGAAATGTTTCTCTGATACAAAACTTAATTATGAAAGTTTGGTCTGTCACATAGAGAGCTACAAATGTATAATCCAGCAATATTGTGTGAATTTGAATTGGTGGACAAGGTCAGAATGGGGATAAGTATACAAGAGAGATGTGCAAACATGCCTTTGCAAATAGAGAACAGGACTGACCTTTTTGTGAAATTATATGTCTTACTGCTAATAACTTGAGATACTTGAGTTAGGGCAATGCTTCAAAAGTCCAAAAATCTTAATCCCTTTTTACATACTTAAGTCTATGAGTCAGACTGTTAAAAATTAGTTTGTTTTAAACTGCTGCTTGAATTCTTGCAAGAAGCCCCAAATAATCATTGGGTCAAGGCTAAGCAGGAAAGGAGGGCATGTTTATTCCATGGATTTGCTCTGGGATTATGGGTGACACTTGGGAGCCTTCTCAAAGCCTCTGGAATAGGTTAAACAGGCCAAGGAAGTTGGGATTTGATAAAAGTGCCCAGCATTCATTCCAGACTACATGTTTCACTTCCTTAAACATCCACGTTGATGTGGATTGCTTGGTTGGCTTTCAGTTGTATTTATGAAACCGTGTAGAATTGACGAAAAGCAGAAGAGCAGAATTGGTACCCCATAGAGCTGCTTTCACACAACCTATTTAGCCTCGTTAAATTTCCCTGTTATCTGGATTCATACAGTACACATAACGATAACCAAACTCATTAGGTTCATGTAACATATTAAGTCAAAAAAATATAATTAAAGTTACAGCTGACCCAGCTTCTTACGTTGTGCAAAATAAATCCTGAACTGATCTGGTTTAGCAAGTTGTGTGAATACAACTAGTTGCTGCCAAACTGTAATTTTTACTATGGTAAAAATTTATGTTAACATTTAAAAATTATTTTAACATGGAAGAATAGTTATATTGATTAATTTAATTATTATTTACTCTTAATTCATGTCTTGCCCTCATTTATACTCTTACTGCAGTTGCTCCTGCTTCTTGAATCTGCTAATGCTGCTCTTCCAACTTTCTAAAGGACAAGTCTGGGCCTTAATAGCAATAGCACTTAGACTTATATACCGCTTTACAGTGCTTTACAGCTCCCTCTAAGTGGTTTAAACAATTAGCATATTGTCCCCAACAATCTGGGTCCTCATTTTACTGACCTCGAAAGGATGAAAGGCTGAGTCAACCTTGAACCTGGTGGGATTTGAACTGCCAAATTGCAGTCAGCTGGCAGTCAGCAGAAATAGCCTGCAGTAGTGCGCTCTAACCACTGTGCCACCACAGCTCTTAACCCCAAATCTCAAATAATGGAAGCTGAACAACTTTAGACTGCCAATAGTGGATACTATCTCAAGTATATCAAGAAGAGAGATTCTAGAATAGACTGAGGAAGCAACTTGGATAAGCTGTAAAACTTTTCAAACCAACAAGAAAAGAAGTCCAGTTGCTATGACTCAACTTCTAGACGACTTCTAGAATACAAGTTGTTGTTTCTTTTTCTCAGCAAATTAATTATGTTAGGTAGCAAATAAGGTATCTTCTATTGTATGATTACTGCTGAATCCAGTTACATTGGATTAAACCAGAGTCACTATGGATGTTATGTTAACAAATTTTATATTCTTTTCATCTTACAAGGATGATAAATGTCCCCATTGATAGAGATGTCTTTCCTCTCCTCCCAAAGTCATACAGTTAATCACAGGTCAAGCAGAATTTGTTTAATGTGGATTCAGCTTGAGATTTAATGCTCGTTACTTCAGGATAAGGGAGTTCCATGGCCCAGTGGTTAAGACATTGGGCTTGTCAACTGGAAAGTTGGCAGTTTGAGACCCAAGCACTGTGCGATGGTGTGAGCTTCCGTTTCTTTCCCCAACTCCTGCCCACTCAGCAGTTCGAAAGCATACAAATGCAAGTAGATAAATAGATACCAATTCAGTGGGTGATAACGTTCCATGTATGTTGACGTACATTTATGCCAGCCACACCACCACAGAAAAGTCTTCAGACAACTCCCTTGCTGGTTCCCTCAGAAAAAAGAGATGAACATCGCCCCTAGACTTGGACATTTACATTTATCTTTATTTCAGGACAACTTAATTGGTAGCATCATTATCATGATGATGATAATGATGATGTTGATGATGATAATGATGATGTATCAACTGTGTCATGGGTGAATAGGATCATTGCATGATGGCATAGTCACATGTGAATATAACTAATGTGAGTTTTGACTGGTATAATTCATTCTGTGCCTTCGATTACAATATTGGAGTAGAGGTGGTATTCAGCAGGTTCTGACCAGTTCTGGAGAACTGGTAGCGGAAATTTTGAGTAGTTCAGAGAACTGGAAAATGCCACCTCCGACTGGAGGTTTTGCAGTATCCTTCCCCTGCCATGCCCACCAAGCTACACCCACAGAACCGGTAGTAAAAATGTTTGAACCCCACCATTGCATTAGAGGATGGGGTAAGACATTTAATTTGTGTCAGGTATAATGCCTGAGTCAATTCTTAGATATTAAGCATATTTTGAGTTACAATAAATGTTTTTAAAAAGTTTGGTATTAGTAAAATTTGCTGGTTGGGGAATTTATAGTAACATTGTGCAACCTGTGTATTTAAGCTATTTACTCAATTCTTTCCTAGCATATGGTTTCATTTATACTTAGTGCTGTGAGACAACAGTACTCTTAACTGTTGTTGAGTTCAGCAGTAAGGGAGTTGCTACATGGTTCAATCTCTAGGCACTGAATTAGTGTATTCCACTTAGAGAGGACAAATTCTTTCAATAAAATGAGGGATTAGAGTGGGTTGGAGGCAGTGTGGTTACATATAAATCTCATCCTCAGGGTGGAGATTAGTAGCATTTTTCTCTGCTTTCTTGTCCCCTAACTTAATGGGATATGTAGGTCATAGTAGCACAACACATTCTTGGAATCAACAGACTAATGGTTGTTTGGCAAAAGGATTATGGACAGTTGCTGTCATTTATTTGCATCTTAGCTTTTCAGGTATCTGGCTGCAGCTCAAGGCTGTGTTATTTTGACTTCCATGCCTGCCAGCTGAATGAACCTCTTGAAAGGACATTTATTTGATAATTACAGGCTGTAGCCTTGGCAGGGAGTTTCCTCTATTCCTAAGAAAGGATCACCTAGAGGCAAAAACCAGAGTTACCAGACTCCACATTTACTTGAAAGAAAATGCAAAACAGCATAATACTTGCCACCCTTCATGATGGTAGGTGTCAGAAATCAATAGAGATAAGTATTGTGATGGAAATCTGGCCAAGTGCCTTTTATCTTTTCCTGGGATTGTATAAAAAAGACAGGATGGTGCTAATTAGGTAGATGTTAAGGTGCCAAAATATCAGCCTTCCCAAGCTTGAAGCTCTGTAGGAAAACTGACAGCTGTGCGCTTTGAATTCTGCAAAAGAGTAATTATTTCACTGTAATAAAATAATATAGGCTTATTCGTCGTATAATTTGGGAGAGCAGCATGATCCAATGAAAAATCAGTTTTGTATTGTGCAGTACCCCAATGTACTGGCACAAAAGGCAAGGAGCAGGGAGGAAGAGAATAATTTTATATGGATATTAGTAGATTTTTTTTGCAGGAAAAGCATGCTCTGCTCTCAAAGTGAGTAAATAAAGATTATTGGCATGCTGTAGAAAAAGTCACTGGGTGGCAACAAGATAATCATATAAAAACACAGCAAGTTTCAACAGAACAACATCCTTTCTTCTAGGAAGTGCTGTGTTTGATCCTTCCTTTTGCATGCTTGCCTTGTTTTTTTCATAATATTGTAGGTTATATTGTATTTTGCCATTTGCTTTTTTTTAAAGGATATTGCTGGCATTAGTAGAATATTGGATGAAATGGGATAATTCATGGGATTCGAACGTGGCAGTTTGGTTAATATAAGCTTAAGATTCTATAGCTAAGATATATAGGAAGTTGTTGTGGCTCTGATTTCCGAGCCTGTGCTGCTAGAGGAAGAAGACTTGGAAGATGAGGAGGAGGAACTGGGAATGCCTTCCTCCCCAGGACCTTCCTCTCTGGCAATGCCTTCCTCCCTGATAATGCCTCAGGTTTCATCAGACAACCGAGAGGAACAGCCTGGGATTAATCAGGAGGAAGGCATATAGGAGCAGCCCCTGACAGGGAGTCAAGAGGAAGAATGTTGGCTTGAT